TTAGTTAACGCAATACTTTATAGTTAATTTAAAGATGCTGTTATTGCTTTAGGTTAAGTGGAACACGATTTTCAAATCCATAATATTTTTGAGGAAGCACGTAATGTTATGCTGCCATGCCAATTGAGAAATTTTTTTGCATAATTCTTAATGTTTGAAGATATTGAAGGCAAAAACGTATGAAAAAAATTAAAATAAGTTATAATAAAGATTCTAAAAAAGAAAAAGAAAATTATGCTTTATTACAGCTAAATTAAATTTTCAAATTTTAAAAAAAGTCCTAAAAATTGCCAAAAAAGCTTTTGACTGACAAAACATTTTTAAAATTACTATTTGATATTGAAGAAGGAAAAATTGAATCATTGCAAGTGCCAGATGAATGGGAAACAACTGATGTATGTTCCGATATTTTTGGCAAAGATACCTATTAACTTTTCAATACATTACGTTATGCTTACTTCTCATAACAAATAGAATTTTTTTTCAAGTAGTAAGATTCTAAATCATGTAAAAAAAGAAATGAGAACATGCAGAGATCAGTATCAAAGAAAGTATTATTCTAGTTCTTCACTTCAACAAGAGGCAGAGCACGATCGTTAACGGCCCTGCAGTTGTTAGCAAATAGGTCGGATTAGAGGTGACGGCTTCTCATCAAAGCCAGCTGCGAGGCAAGGAATAGGAGTTGGTACTGGTGTATCTAATAAAAATATTGAAACAAAGTAACGCGTTACTATTACGATTATTTATACATTAATAATTTATTGAACTTATCTGAGTATTTAATAGGAAGGATTGCAACTCAAGAACATCAACCGCTGCTAAGCTTAGGGCTTGAATTGGACCAACGGTGAATAGCATTAGAGCGGGATTGTAGTAACGGCCACCCGGGTAAGAGGAAGAGCACGACCGCTCATGACACTGCAGTTAATGATAAATAGGTCGGATCAGTGGTGACGGCTTCTCATCAGAGACAGCTACGAGGTTGGGAGTGGGAGGGGGTGCTGGTTCATCTAATAATACAAAGTAAGAGTATAGTGTACTTACTATAATAATTATTTAAGAGTAATATACAAGAACTTATCAGAGAAAGGGATTATTATTAACATATTCTTAAATTAATTAAGAACAATAAAAAGGGCACTTAGTACTCGGGGACTCTTATTAAATAAAAAATATGTTCTGGGCTTGTACTAGACCTTTAGACTACAGTAAAAGAGCAGAAACAGAAAGGAACTTTATTAGTGCCTTAAATGAAATAGGAAAAATATCACATGTAAGAATAATTGTATAACATATCAAAGTTAAATTAAAAAAAAAATAATAATAGAGTTTTCATGATGAATAAGACCGTGAGAAATTGCAAAATATTATAAATGGTTTTAAAAAGCATATTCAATTGAAGATGAGCGCATATATAATTAACATCTATTGCACAGTTGATTATGCCTATCCGACCGTTCAAACCACATCGTTAAGGCTATGGGATTATTCACTCCTCTCTTAGCCTAACCCCTTCCGTTGACTCTTGCTTCATTAAAAATTTATCACGCGCTCTTCTTCAGCAGGTGCAAATGGCGATCAAAAGTCAAAAACAATAAATATACATTTATAGGTGTGTGTATGTACATTATAAGGTTGTAATGGTTCATGCCACCTGTCAAACTAACCTCATGAAAAATCGCCATCCTCAACAATTTTTTTCTAAAAAACTAGCCATTTGTTTGGAAAAAAAATAGTTTCATCTTATTCAGGATAACTTAATCTGTAAGAAATAAAATTTTCAGCCAATTTAACCGAGAGAGAATATCCTAAGGGTTTGTGCGGGGTCTTTTATGAGTTACATAGAGAACTTAGAGATTTTTTAACTGAAGAAAAATAAGCAAAAAAAGGCAGGAGATAGTGAAGTAAAGGGAGAAAAAAATGTTTATTTTACTGTCAAAAAATCCGTCATTACTTCGTGATATTTCAAAAATGAATTTGTAGAAATTGTCATCTATCTTAAGAGTTTGAATGCGTTGTGCGAGGATTTGTTTGACAAGAAGATTATAACATACTTGTAATCATACAAGTCGTCACAGGATCACGTGAAAATGCTTTTTGCATTGATCAGAAGTATGAATGGATTCATACACAATCCCACCGTTGTAAAGTTCCAATCAGCTTTAAAAAAACTATTATTAAATAATATGAATGTATCCCTGCCAGTATCAGCCAACTGCACGCCACAAGATAAGATATTGATTATTTCTGATGCTCATGACGTATGTAAAACAAGTGAATGAGAAAACTACTCCAGTTGTTACAACAAAAGTCAACTCTTTTTCTGTAGCACGGTTATTACACAAAATTAACATTTAACAGTTCATAATTACTCTAATTGAAACAATTGGTTGGAGTTTGAGTACCTCGAAGAACTAATGAAACACACGGCTAGCTTAACTGTTTACACCATAAAAGAAAAAATTTTTTTTTGCTGAGTGTTCAAACTTGCGGTAGAGATTGACATCTGCAAAATCTAGATTAACATTTCTAAAGAAAAGAGGTGGTTTGAATTTTGCTTCGGATGATGTATACACTCTATGCCACTACAAATAAAAAATTTTAGGACGTTTCAAAGAAATGTTGTTCGATAAAAACATTAATTTTAAAATTGTTACAGAAACACTAAAAATTTTACCTTTGTCGATTTTGTACAATGATTTTCATACTTTTTAACAAAAACCACTGTTATTTAAATAAAAGGTTAAAGCATGAAAGTGTTAAGTTATGTGACATGAAGAACCGATTTCGGATGCACTACAATAACCTGACCATTTTCAAGGTAAACAGATAAATCCCTTCTTGGGACATCATTTAGGTGATAAATGCCATAGTTTACTTCAAAGCTTTGTATACACATGTTATTTGAAGGTCTGTGTAAATAAATGATCATTTATTTGCTTATACTTACTTATTGGTCAAAAATTTTGTGATTTATTTTCTTTTTAAAAGGTCATTGTCAACATTAGTTTAGCAGAAGAACGTTGTGACAGAGTCGGGTAGTGGCTTTTTAGGGATAATTGTATTGGCTCCTTGGGGGAAATTTTAGTGGCTCTTTGCAGGTGAGTCACTGGCAGTTATTTAAACAGTGTTAAAAAAAGTATTAACTGCTGTGCGGGGCACTTAGGGTTGCGACGCAGGGGTAGGACGGTCGCATTGAGGAGGCTGGAGTCGCACAGCTGCGTACCCATAGCGTTGTACTTTGGGTAGTTGTTTGCGTGTACTAAGCTGGCCGGATACAACGTTACAATGTATAAATTAAGCCTCAAAGTTAAGTACAGAATATTATCTTTCACGAGTGAAATGACTTTTTCATTCAGTTTGTATTATTAGTTACAAATAATAATCAGTTGCAATATTACATGTTATAAAGTCGTGCAAAGTAAGGGTGACCCTTAAAGGTTGCTCATTAACTGATTGCTGGTAACTAGTTTTTTGTCTTACTCTACCGACCGGATGCTCCCACTTTTAGATGAACATATAGCTTGCCCACTCTATGTATATTATATCTATGAACATACCTCGTATCTCTTTTGCACTGCTGGATTAAGAATTACAATTTAAGTATCGTTGAGAGTAAGTGAGTTTTATTGCATTACCTCCTGGAGTAACAAATTGAAAAATCCAGTAAACCAAACGACCCAATAATCTTTAAGTTGTTATCAATAGTATTGAAGGCTTAAAAATTTTTATGAATTTGTAAAATGAGAACACTCAGTAAAACTTGACTGACATAATTTTATTATAAAAAAACACTTCAATGCAGTTGTTAGCAAGGAGGTGGGATTCCGAGTGACGGCTTCTCATCAAAGCCAGCTGCGAGACAAGGAATAGGAGTTGGTACTGGTGTATCTAATAAAAATATTGAAACAAAGTAACGCGTTACTATTACGATTATTTATACATTAATAATTTATTGAANTTAAAATTTATTACTAACTTTAAAAAGTGTTGACTTTTAAAGTAGACTAACACCTTCAGAAAATGTATGTGGGAGAAGATAAATGTTATTAAGTGGGTATTTTAAATTTTCTCTAATACATGCCACAATAATTTTTCTACTTATGCCAGTAAATAATCTTATTACATTTAAACTAAAAAAAATGCCATCAGTTAGTAATATGAAAGACTTTTTTCTCATTAAATACATTTTTTTAATCAAGCAAATTGTTTTTGTAATTATGTTTTTAAAAAATTTGGTGATTAGTTTTAACAGTTAACACATACATGAATTAATGGCTAAGACGATATTATGGATGGGGTGGTTGAACTTAAGCTTAACTATGACAATAAGACGTATTGTTTTTATTTATTCATTTATTTTTGTTTATATATTTATAAAACTGCAAAACTAGAAAAAGTTTATTAGCTTATAATTATGTCCTTTAGTTTATCGAAACATATGTAAAGACGTGGTTATATAAAATAAATAACTTGCATGTATTACGAGTTGGACCGTTCCTTTAAACACATCTGCTTTTTTACCACTCTGTTTTTGGTGACCACTGTTGGTTTGCTTATGTCAATAGAGGTGCTACAAAACAAAAGTTTCATCTAGTTCAAATTTACATAAACAAGTTATATTCTAGTTCACACAATACTCAACAAATCAGCAGACAAAAGTTAAAATACCATGACAAAGGAAGAATGCTTCATAATTTATCTTGTGGTCAAGTGTCACTTGATGACAATTGAACTTTACTTTTATCAAAGTAGAATTTCTGATTATTTCTGATTTATACATGCTTCGTTAATATAAAATGTTTAAATAAGCGCTTTTTCAAAAATAAGACGTTAGTTTTAAGTTTCGACTAAGGTTTAAGTATAAAAATAGTAAAACAATTCATGGATGCATCAACACTCGTAAGAGCTGTAGAAATATCTATGGGCATATATATCATGCATTTCAAATTTTGTAGTAGCGTTTGTAATAATTAATGTAACCTAAATGAATATTTTAGTATTTAGGGAACTCTCCTGATATAATTACACAACTTAAATCTGGCACACATGAATTTCTGGACTATCTAGTAAATGCTAAAAAACCGATGATTATTCTTGGAGCTGAACAACTGACTCGTAAAGATGGAAATGTTATTCTTGCGGAAACATTGTCTTTGTGTCAATTAATTGAAGATCGCTCAAAGGTAGATACATTTTGATTGATTTAAAGCTTATAAAATTTATTAAAGCAGCATAATGTCTTAGATGCCAAAAACTTGGAAGGTAATGAATATTCTACATACCAATGCATCACAAGTTAGTGCCTTAGATATTGGTTATGCATCATCATTAGAGGATGTTAAGAAAAATGAACCTAGCGTTGTTTTTCTTCTTGGAGCTGATGAAACATTTCTGAAAAAAGGAGATTTTCCGAACTCCTTCATAGTTTACATAGGTTATTTTTTAAGCATATACAATTGTATCTAAATGGTTCAAAGTCTTAAGCTTATTGCCTGTAAAATAAATCAAATTATATTTGTTTGGCAGGAAGTCATGGAGATAATGGAGCAGCATTAGCTGATATAGTTTTACCAGGTGCTGCTTATACAGAAAAGTCTGGAACTTATATTAATACAGAAGGTAGAGCTCAACAAACGAATGCTGCAGTAACTCCTCCAGGAATGGCACGCCCGGATTGGAAAATCATTCGAGCACTTTCTGAGGTAAATGTTCATTTATATCATACATAATATTGACAAATTATGATGAACAAAGCAAAGAATCAATAAATTGTTTCTAAATAGCTCATTTATTGCAATCCTACAAACGTAGATTTTCTTAAGAATGTAAGGTTGGTGTTTATGTTATCTTAATTATAATTTTATAATGCTTCATTACACTTCAAGAGTTTTATTTCAAAGCATTACTTTGATAAATTTATACCTGAAAATATACGTTAAACTTATAAATTCCAAGACAAATCTTACAATTATCAGTTTGCCTTTGCCTTCTTTTTTATTATACGCTACACGTTCGGCTCTGTTCTGCAAGCACTACTGAGGGCACTAAGCAGTTTGACTTTGCTATTTTTATTATTTGCGAAAAAAAAAAAAATTAAGATGTGCGTGTGAGACAATATTCACATATCTCAACGTTCTTCTAATTTTGTAAATTTTTGTATACCTGTCTTTTACACTTACAATATAATACAGGTACGATATTATAAAGTATCAAAGTGGGATATATTTTACAACGAACGTAAAAGTTTCGAATGACAATTTTAATCTGTCTCAACTGTGGATGCTTGATTAATACTTTTATTGAATGCACTCAAAACAAACGTTATTTGTATCTTTTAGAAATTTTTTAAAATACTTAACATATTTGAGCTATTTAGAGTGATCCAGATAAAGTTCATTATGGCATTTCTACACTTAAACATCTGCAACCTTTTGATTGCAAAGTTTTATTGATCTCAAGAATACTGACTTATTAATGCATTATTACTATACCTATAACCGTCTATAACATTAAACGTAAGGTAAAAGTACTAGTTACTGGCCACTTAGTAGCTGTTATCAAAAGAACATCATATATTTTAAACAGCTTTTAAAACTTTAACTTCTGTTAGGTATCATTTGAAAGCTATGAATGTATTTTTAACTATACGATAAATAAAAGTCGTAAATCCGACCGTAGACAATAATAATTTATAATAATCTGAGTACGTCAGATGCTTTAGTACATGGCCACTGAAAAAAAAGGTTGCTTTAGTGGCCGAAATTTAAGAGCCAGTAACTGGCCACCCCATGCTAAATGTACATACATCGAGGTGGTCGGCTACTAGTGCTCGCAGAAGTGAGGTTATGTACATATTTTATGTACAAGTGCTCTAGTACTAGGCCACCTCTTTTTCAAAATTATTTTTTAAAGTGGCCAGGTACTGGTCGCGGCCAGTAACTAGTGCCTTTACCTTAATTAATATAATTGTATACCCATCTAATAGTGTTCAATTCAGGTAAAAACGTTTATTTTCCTGTAACGTTTCGTCGACTACATATGCTGACTTTTTCAGACTTTACTAACAGAATTATAAAAAATTTTGAAATCATAAAAAAAATTTAAACGAATAATAATTTAATTCTTAAAAAAAATTTTCGTGAATTAAAAACAAACACGCAATCACCTTTTTTTGGATTCGGCCACTTACTTGCACGTAAGTTAAACACAAATGTATTAAGTAAATGCAATTGGACTTGAAGAGAACGAGTTAAGAGTTCAGAAATAAATGAAAAATCCAGAGGAAGAGCGAGTGAGAGAGTGAGAAAGAAAAAAGGGGCGAAAGAGAGAGAGAGAGAGAGAGAGAGAGAAAGATGTAGAAGAAGCAAAAAACTAAAAATTGTAAGCACTCCAGCTTGTGCTTAACATAAGCCTTCGGAGAATAGTATGTATTAAATCAGGTTAAAAAAAACATAAGACAGTATAAAGTCTTACTTTTTCTGATGCACATATTTTTTTGTGTTAAAATTTTATTTGGGTGTAAGTGAGTCATAAAGTAGAGGCATTTACGGAAAAGATGTTATAGAATATTTTCTAGTGTGTAAGAGAGTAACTAAAAAACTTACTATTACAACTACATTACTATGAACCAAATATGATGGCTGGCACAGTATCGTTTCATCTGCCGACAATGTATGAATATTCTATGTACATGAAAGGGCTCACCCTGTACATAATATTAAATTTGGTTTAACTAAGAAGTATAGCATACATGTTATAATGGTTATTATAAAATTATGTTTTTACTAATCCCTTATAACTTTCTAAAATTAGAATGATAAATAGAAGCTAATACAATGTGGTCCGTTAAAAAATTGCATTAAAGCAAAATAACACTCTGGAAACATTAAATAATTACGTAAGCAAGTTCTATTTACATTTTATTCTACAGTTCAACAATACTGAATTCTTCATTTGATTAAGTATTCACTTGAAGCAAATCCATGGTAATACTAATGGTAAAATAAAAACTTATAAGTTTATATAATTTTTATATCCCTTACTGTAGTCCATGCGACTCTCTCTCTAGCTCAGTATATCGTCTGTCTCTCTCACTATCCTGTAAAAACATAGCCTTTTATAGTTTTTACCATACTTATTGATTAATGTCTTCTCTTACTGATACCCTCGAGATGTTAAATAAAATTAAACACGATCGTTAGAAATTTTACTATCGTTGGTAAAATTATCGTAAGTTTATTGTTAATAAGCGAAATAAATGCAATTGAAGTGCTCAAAAGGATGACAGCCCATAAGCCTACATGTACAAATTTTGACAACGTCATTTTCATGACTTCAATGATTTGTAACTAATAGAACTCTCTTACGAAGAACTATTATTATTTATGGCCGAAATTTCGAAGCTTAGCAATTGCCTCAATAAAGAAGGTTTCAAATGGTCTAAATGTCTATTTCAAAGTAAATTATCTTCTGTAACAACAGCATATGTTACCAAACCTATTTTAATGGGGATGGCGACCTAGCAAACTAATTTCAGATGGTGCTACTGGTACTAAGACTCTAGCCAATGAGATGTGAGAACGGTTTATGCACGAAAGTATACTTATATATGTAGTTTGCAGTGCGCGTGCATGCTTTCGTACTCACATCTCATTGGCTAGAGTCTAAGTACTGGTTGCGCCATCTGAGATTAATTTGCTAGGTCGCCATCCCCATAAAAATTTCTGCTTTTTTCCAACAATTATTTCTGAAATATTTAGCCATTTTCGAATCGACCTTACTATACTCAATCAATTTATTTCCTTGAAAATAACGCTTCTGCTCGTTCTGCTTTTTGCGAAGAAAATTGAAAATATTTAGTTTGGGCAAATCTAATCTGAATAGAAATTTCCTGCCTATTTGCAGTTCAAATAGGGAGACTCCTGTTATTATACAACGCGTTGAACGATAACTAAATAAACATTTTGCAAGAGCTTCACGCATGTCTATTTTTTTAATACATACGCCTTAAATTTTTATTTAAACATTTTTTTTACATTTTTCATAGCTTACAGGATGGTACGAAGGCGTAAAACGATGTTTAACATTGTTTTTTTTTTTTAGGAATACTAGCTAAAAATGTCAGTAATTTTAAAACAAATTTAGTGACTGGGTATTTTTGTACCTTGTAGGAAAAAAATCGCACTTTTTAATAAAATAAAATGGAACAAAAACTTTCTTCAGCGTCATAGTAAAAAGACGAAAAATAAAACAAAAAAATGCAAAACCTGGAAATGGTTCACGGTGGTTTGGATGTTTGGCCCCAAAATGTTGCCAACTGACGCGCTAAATGTAAAAGTTGGAAAACGCGTTGTCGTACTTTTATTACATTTATTTATGCATAGATCGGTACGAAACGGGAATCAAACATTATATCATGAGCATTAATTGTATTTTCAGCTTATTATACCAAAATATGTAACATTGTAAATAATAAGCATATAAATCTGTACATCTAAGCGTACGGCTCATTCATTTAGCTATTGGAGTTCGATTCAGCATTAGTGTTGCCCTTACGCAAGAAATAACGGGAATTTTGTTACTAGATTATTTCGGATATTCCTATAATTACAAAATGATAATTATGGAAGAAGATTCAATCTGTCTTCTGTATGATAAGCCACTGATTGAAGAAAACACTAGTATGATTAAAGAGCGCTGCATCTCTTCAATCATTTTTTGCAAGTAAGAAAAGGAAAAACAAGAATTAAAAAAAAAATAGTTCAAAACGAACCTTGTCCCTCTGCTCCCCTCTATTGTCTATTGCTCCACCCATAAGAGCGTCAGTTGATGTAAAGAATTTTGATTATAGCGCATGTTGTTTTTTCTGTAGGGAGGGCGCTTCAGATGAATACATAAAAAAAATATGTAAAAAATTACAAGATAATTTTGCAAACTACTATCGTTGCATCAAACGAGTTCATTAAAACAATCCAAAAAACTATCGATGAGAGGCAGAATGCGCGTAATATTTATAAGTTGCTGTCATTAAGATTAACGAAACCAATCGAATTCGGAAAACATCGAGCCCACTATCACTGCCTTTGCTACAGTAGATTTCAAAATAACAGTCCGTATTTTATAATTGGTCGGCCGTTGACAAACAAGTGTACGGTTGTCAGTTTGTTGCCACATATATAGTGGATAATCGTCAAAAGGATCAATTTTTATCGAGAGATATGTTAGGTAAATTTGAAGGACCAAAAAGAGTAAGTATTCTGTATTTAAAGAAAAAACTTGTAGAATACTTCAAATCAATTATAATTATGTAGCCTACTAATTAAAATAACAGTAATTATTCCGTCGCTATGGGAGACAGGATTTTAAGTAACGATTGGTATACTAATAGGAAAAAAATGAGAAAAAAATGCGTGTAGTTGAGTAACGTCGATGATTATCTCTCTCTGCATCATTTTTTAGATAATGTTGATGCATTTGTTCCCAAAAGCTAACGTTTAATACTTGATACTATCATAAAAGATAATAAAAAGCAACCAGAAAAGCTAGATAACACCATAACAACTTTGCCACAATGTATTATATCTAGTTCTGGGCCCTGTTCGTTTATCTTGTCTTTATTATTAGAACTATTGTCCATGATTTACAAAAAAATTGCAAGTAAGACATTAATAAAAGCATTAGCTAATTGTGGCTTTTGTGCATC